ACAGATGGACAGACTGACCTTTTAGAGGTGTAAAGACAATTATCTCCATAAGACAGAAGAGAGATAAGGTAGTGGAGGTCCAAGAAGATTGATAGATTAGGTGATGGGAGAAAATGAGGAGAAACTAGTCCAGCGGCTGTGACTTTCTGAAGAGGGGGAACAGGGTGTGAGAAATCTGGCTAACAGGGAAGATTTGCACTGAGTATTATGGCTGCTGGGAGAGCAAGACCCTAGAGAAAACTAGTGAAGTTTCCAGGAAGTGTTATGGGTGGCTGATAATGAAATGCTTGTAATGACTTTTCTTAGCAGTGCTCATTAGTTGGGTGCAGGCACAGAAAAGGCGGATGATTGGGTTTCTCTGTTGAAACAGAACTCCATAAAATCAAAAGAACTCAGATCTCATCTAACACAAAGATTCAGCAACATGTCATCAAACTGACACCAGCTCTTTCCTCTGGTTTCTGTAGACCGCACCTACTAGTTTTCCTCTTTCCTTTGTGGCCATCACTTAGCTTCCTTTGCTGGCATATTCAGCTCTACCTGATAATCTTTCAAACCCGATGGACAAGCTTGGGGAATAGCATGAACAAGACGGAACATGGAACCTGCTTTCCTGATACTTGCATTCTGTCAGGAAAAGCAGACAATAAGCTAGCAGTCACATATTACATCATTTAATTTCTATTGGTTGGGATCACCAAAGATACTGTAAGGTATTGAAAGAGTGCATAGCAGAAAGTCCTTACTTGGTGTTCCTTTTACATGAGATTTCTCAGCACAGCATTTTGCTGGGAGCAAATATTCAGTAACTATTTACTGAGTATATGAAAAGCCAAAGAGATTAAAGAAGCAGTCCTTTGCAGCTTAGAGTTCAACAGCTACTCTAATGGTGTAAGTATTCCCTTTTTTTAAAAAAAAGAATTCAGCAATTTTTAAAAAGTAGCAAGAAAATACAGTACACCTGAAACAATGGCAAAGTTATACCCTTAGGAGGAAAAAATAAAATAAAAGCCAGACTTATGAAAAAGGAGGAATGGCTTCATCTCAGTGACAATCTATAATAAAATCAGTTGATATGAATACACTTCAGTTCATTAAAAGAGGTGGAGTTAGCTGGGCTCGGTGGCTCAGCCTGTAATCCCGCGCTTTGGGAGGCTGAGGTTAATGGATTGCCTGAGCCTGCGGGTTCGATGCCCACCTGGGCAACTTGGTGAGACCTCATCTCTACAATAAATCAAAAATTAGCCAGGCATGGTAGCTCACACCTGTAGTTCCAGCTACTTGGAAAGTTGAGGCGGAAGGATTGCCAGAGCCCAGCAGGTCGAGGCTGCGGGGGCCGGGAGTGGCCACTACAGTCCAGTCTGGGCGACAGAGTGAGACTCCAACTCAAAAAAAAAAAAAAAAAAGAGGGGTAGTTTAGGAGAAGAAAAATCACCTATTTATAACACCATACAAGAGATTTTGGTACTTTCTTGTCAAATAATAAGAAATTTAAAGATATATACAACACAACTGCTTCCCTCAGGGAGTTCATAATTTAGCTATAGAAGAGAGAATATAAAGACAACCAAGGATGCAAATAAATATAATAATAAGATTCTAGCCCTTAGATTATAATTTTTCTAGAATAATTGAACATACCTGAGACACCAGCCTTTAATCTTGCATTTCCAGTGGCTTGGAAAGAGAGACTATTTATAAACACCCCTGGTCAAGATAAGAGCTGGTGGCAGGTAAATTTCTGAAAAAATTGTCTGAGCCAGAGATGAGCAAACAGGAGGTTTCTTGAGGAGCCTTCTCAGGACCAGTTCATATGGAAAGAGGCTGTGATGCAAGCCTGACAATTCCAAGACCAGCCCAATTCCCTTTGGAATTGCCCCTGGTTGAGGTGAAAGGGGCACCTTATATCACTGCACTGACCATTCATGGTCTGCCAGCTGCCCTTAGGAAGGAAGAGTGACATTGGACAGAGAGATTCTTCAGCCAAGGAAATCTTTGAAGAGGACCTAACACTCCAGGAGTCTCTTGGCAGCTAGAAAAATTAATTCTTCAGTCCTGAAGAGGGATCAGAGTAGCAAGTGTCCACTATAGCATTTTCATTCCATTTGTTACTTACAACCTTCAAATGAAATTTGTGCAGTGACATGCTGCCCACCTAGAGAAGCAGAGAAAGGACTTATGTGTGCCTGCACAAAAGTACAAATTTTTATACAGGCTGAATGCTTGGGGCCAGAAATGTTTCAGACTTTGGATTTTGGAATATTTGCCTATACATAATGAGATCTCTTGGGGATGGGACCCAAGTCTAAATACAGAATTTATTTAGGTTTCTTATATACCATCTTCACTAGCCTGAAGGTAATTTTATACAATATATTCAATAATTTTGTGCATGAAACAAAGTTTTGGCTGAATCCCATCACATGAGGTCAGGTGTAAATTTTTCCACTTGCGGCATCGTGTTGGTAACTCAAAAAGCTTTGGATTTTGAAACATTTAGGATTTCAGATTTTCAGATTAGGGATGCTCAACCTATATTTTAGTTAAACCAAATTTCAATGACAAATGAACTTACTTGTTAGGAGACTATGAGTACCTGTTTCAAATCAGTAAACCTTAAGAATTGGCACAGGTGACCAGGCGCGTTGACTCACACCTATAATCCCAGCATTTAGGGAGGCCAAGGCAAGAGGTTTGCAGAGCCCAGGAGTTCATGACCAGCCTCGCAACTTGGTGAGACGCTGTCTCTACTATAAATTAAAAAATTAGCCAGGAGTGGTGGCACACACCTGTAGTCCTGGCTACTTGGAAGGCTGAGTCAGAAGGATCGCCTGAGTCTAGCAGGTCAAGGCTGCAGTGGCCATAAACATGCCACTGCACACCAGCCTGTGTGACAGAGCAAGATTACAACTCAAAAAAAAAAAAAAAAAGGATTGGCACAGATAATCCAAAACCAAGGGAAATCTAACAACAACTGCGCTGCATAACTTGTAGCACAGACATGATCACCTGCAAGTCTCTCACCTGAACTGTTTTACATATAAAATTCAGGCAGGTTACTACAAAAGGCAATGTTTAAAGGGCAACACCAACTCTTAGCAAAGATGGGAATAAGATAAATTGAAGCATCCTTCTGACCTTTTCTTAACATGCAAATAACTGTGGCGTGAGGCTTACAATTAGGATTTGTTGTCAAATCTTTCACCAAGGCAGTGATGAGAGGCAGGTATCCTGTTCTCAAAATTGACTCCCTCTCTGCCTGGCTATCCCCTTCTGACATCTTTCTACCTTCTAGTAGCCAAGGGATCCTCAGACCTGCCTTCTTTGAGAAGTGCTTTGTATTTTTTCCTCCAAGTCGTTGTTTCCTAGTGTTTGCTACGTGGAGCATTTGCATTAGAAGCAAGAATCTGTTTTAGATGTCTGTTCCTGAATCCCGCCCCAGACCTACTGATTCAAAATCCCTGAGACTGAAAAACAAGAAATTTGCTTTTTTTTTTTTTTAATAATCTGACTAAATGATTTTTATGTACACCAAAACTATAAACACATTCCTACTTCCCCTTCGTGGCCTCAACTGCCACATCGGATGAATATGTCTAAACTAGTACCTGATAACACTCAGTATATTGTCCATCTCAGGAAAGGCCTAGTATTTTAACTGAAGACAATCTCTAAAGATTCCATCTCAATGGGAACATTTCAGCCACCAGAGCAAACTGGTTACTGAAAATTTTCCCTCTTTTCCTTCCTTTGTCTTCCTTTCCTTCAGTGTTACTTGGTAATAGCCTTGACTTCTGCCCTCCTTCCATGCTGGATTCTTCTATAAATGCATGTATCAGTCAGAAAACTCTATAGACAACCTCAGATTTATGCATGATTTAATAACTTCTGGTTAACTAACTCAGTTCTGGGGAATGCATGTTGTGACCAGACATGAAAACAAACTTTCCACATTCCCAAAAAAAAAAACCCCATCTAACTAAGTATTATGGGGAAAAGAAAACAAAAAAGAATTTATTGTCAAGTACAAGTTTGAAGTATCCTGAGTTAAAATTAAGCATGTTTCTTTACTACGGAACTTTTCAGAGCTTTTAATATGTTAATATACATTGTGACTTTCCCAGAGGACACTATATAGGCATTATGTCCCGGATTCTCTTGGGTTAGCTCTTGAAGTTGTCTGATTTTGAAGATCATACTTTGGGAAAGCCTGTTCTAAATTTTAGCTGGTTGTCTGTCCATCTGTTTCACTCATGCTGTTGCGTGGCTCACATTTTCTGCGTTCTGACACTTTAGCTGAGTTTGATTTCTGGTAAGTATTGTGGCTGCTTAATTCACTTTGGGGTGTGATTTAAAATTTAAGCAAAAGCACCCAAACTAGGGTTTAATTTTCTGTTATTTTAGTAAACATTATATTTCAGATCCATCTTTCATAAGCATACTATGTAATCTCTGGCCAATGTCCTGCAAGTGGATGTTGCTTCTATTCCTCTTGGCTGGAAGGACTTTCTTAAAATAAATGTCGGTGTTCCCATGCCCAATGTTTATTTGAAATGAAAACTTATGTTCACTATTGATTCATATTTCTACTGTATTCCTTTTATTCCATGTAGCACTTTGGTATCTGGGGAGAAATGCTTTTTGAAACAACATTTGTGTTCTAAATGACAGTTTTTTGCATAACTTAGATGTTATTTTCACAGATATTTCTCCTCCATTTCCTTCTCTTAAAATTAGTTTCTATTATTATCCTGAAAGGACCAGAGCTTCTTTACTGATAACTACTTGAATTTCCTTAGGTAAATAGTGGAGAGTTTAACCATGTATTATCAGTGGGATAGCAAGGTAGATTTTATCATTGAGAACTTCTCAAGATTAGATAAAGCACTGATGTTTTGGAGATCTCAAGTTGGAATAATTCCATTCAAATTTATCTTATAAATGTATTGCTGTATAGATAAAATAAGACTGTCAATGTTTTTAATCAACTTTGTTTCCAGCCTCTGCAAAAGTCAGTTGTGACACTATTTGGGAGAAGGACCTCAATTCACATATTTGCTACCAATTCAACCTGCTTTCATCTCTCTCTTGGAGTGAGGCACATTCTTCATGCCAGATGCAGGGAGGTGCTTTATTGAGTATTGCGGATGAATCTGAAGAAAATTTTATAAGGAGTAAGTAGGTGGATGGTGCACTTTGGTATTGTTACAACAAAATGACTGTTTAAATAGTTATGTCCATGCCTGCAAAAATATATTCTGAAAAAAGTTTCTTAAGCAATATTTTTCCTTTCTTAATATGGCCCAAACTCACCCAGAATGATCCAGAACCATAGGCTATTCCATTTGGCACCCAGTCAAGTCTTTCTTATTTTCTCCGTCTTGAAGAAGAGAGCATGAAGCCACAGCAAGGGGCCCAGGAGAGTTGCAGCTCCAGCATGTGGATCAGGGAGACTCTAAATCTAAGTACTAATTCTTTCTCTTCTGGAGATCTTAGCCATTGCATTTCTATTAATAAATGGAATTATTTTATTCCATTAATAAGTATTATTTTACATTTCTTTTTTTTAATGTGGGGTACAATTCAGGGTTAGGTTACAAATGGTCATTATGAAGGTACCCTTGTTAATGAAGTATGCCCCCCTTTTCTCCACTGGCAGTTTCCCATTACTCACTACTGCCAATCCTTTTCTTATAGTGTTATGATAATTTTCAAGGTCCACTTATGAGTGAGAACATGTAGTACTCAGTTCTTTTTTCTGTGATAAATCACTCAATATTATAGACTCTAAGTCCATCCAAGTTGCTGCAAAGTTCTTAATTCTGTCCCTTATGACTGTATAATATTCCATCGTGTATATATACCACATTTTTAAAATCCAGTCCTCTTTCAATGGGCAGCACGGTTGGTTCCATGTTTTTGTTATTGTAACAATGCTGCAATAAATAGGGTGTGGAGGTATCTTTTTCATAGAGTGATTTGAGTTCCTCTGGATCCATTAATAAATTATTAAGTAGTTTGTTAATTCAACAAAATCGTATCTATCACACACTGCAGGTGTATCACAGGCCTTCTGGTGGCTGCCAAATTTTGTTTGCATTTAGTGGGAAAAGCAAAAGCACACACATGTTAACTAACAGTATAAGACAATAATATAAGCTGTTAAAAGAGTTGGACTAATGAACTGGGATTTATGCTTCACTTGTCACCTAAACACTCCTTGTTCTTCTCCTTTATAGGTGAAACTTGTTTGTATGTGTGTACATATACTCTTTAAAATTTTTGGAAACAGTGGAAAGTGTCATACAACTAGTCACTTTCATTAACAGTTTCTGATGCTATTTTTTTTTCAAAATTTTTGCACACATTATGGTACATGTTTATTTAAGAGTAATTTTAAAAATTTATGTATACAGAAAAAAAAGAAAAAGCTCCCATAGTTTTACAACCCAGAGATAACCATGTTTTTCTGCAAAAAAACATATAAGTGCATGCATACTTACATAGTATGTATAACAAAAATGACATTGTATAAAAACAAGGCAGCTATTGCACAGTGGCTAGGAGCAGGGACCAGATAACCAGCACACAGTTTGGTAATCTGCTTATTTTGTTTACCTGCATATAATAAACATTTGTCCATGTCTATAAATATAGACCTACATCATAATTTTACATCTACTTAGTAGTATAGATTAGCAGTAATATATTGTTATAATCTCCTCCTATTAGGGATATAGGCAAGTTTACTTATTTTATTTTTATTTATCTATCACTATAATAAACCATTCTTGCGCATACCTTTATGCATAGATTTCCAATTATTTCTCTAAAAGTTTATAGAAGTGGATTCCCAGGATGAAAAAATAAGCACCCTTTAAAACTTTTGAAAGTCATTAATATCTCCAGAAAAATTGTAATAAATGGATGAACAGTACATGACTGCCCTTTTCCCATAGCTATGCAAAAATGGGAAATTATTATTGAAACTGTTTTGAGTAAGTCATAGTACAGGAAAACATCAATTTCCAGAATCATTATTAGGCTGAAATGTTTTTTATGTAAAAGTTTGCACACCATTTATGATTTACAATTGCTATCTATCTTAACTGCCAGGATTTCTCATGGGAGAATTTGGGCTTATTCATCAAATTTGAATAACAATTTTAAAAAATAAGATATGCCAGAGACTTTGATTTAAATGTCTCAGTTCTATAGTTCGTCTTTGGGAATCATTTAGGAAAACAGAAGTCTATTCACAAAGACAGAAACCTATTCTGACCACAGCATTTTTAAATGATGATAATGGTCAAATGTTTCTTGCTAATCACTGGTGAATGTATACCTTGGTATAAGGAATTATATAAGTTGTCACGAATGCCAAGGAATAGGCAAAGGAATTTAGCTTTTAACTTGTTATTACAGTGTTATGGGCCAATTTTTTTGTAAAGGTAAATAAACTGTTTTTTGTACCTTCAAATACAGACTATAAATTCCACTGTAATTAGTTACATGTATTATTAAAATAATTGCACAATGAGTATTCAAAATAATTTTGAGATAAGAATAATTAATGTTTTAATATTTTAATTAGAGTTTAAAATATCACTTGGTACTTATCCGGATATGAAATGTGGAAATTTCTCCCTGTTTTATCAATCAATTTCACCTCTTGTCACCATAAGACCTGTTAAATAATTTAATCAAATTGAAATGACTAATCAAATGGACATTAGGAAAAGGCTCCACGTTAATGCTGGAAAGGTGGGATCCACATATAGTATGCTGGTTTTGTTTAGTGATTTTTGGACTCTCAAAATTATAAAGCACCTTTTTCTCTTTCCTTAAGTGGATTAGATTCTTCCCGTTTTTCACAATTGTATTGGAATGGCCAATCACTAAGGATGTTGCAGCCTTATTAGATGACTATAGTGACCTTCATAACCTGGTTAATCATAAAATTTACCATCCAAACTGAGGCTCTTGAAAGTAAAACGTGCTTTGGATTAATAATTCTTCTGGTACAACCAGCATAAACCCTGAGTTTTTCAGGCACTTACCCGGATTATTTTGAATACTCATTGTGCAGTTGTTTTAATAATACATGTTAATTACTGTGCACTTTATAGTCTGTATCTGAAGGTACAAAAAAAGTTTATTTACCTTTACAATGAAATAGGCCCATAATACTGTAACCAGCATAAAGCATGAGTTGACATACAGTCACCCTGTTTATAACCGTTATCTATCAGAGTCTCAATCTCAGGCAGCATCTGACCTTAAATAAACTGGGTTGTAAGCAGATTGACCATAAAAGAACAATGTTCTCCTTTATAGATTAAATAATTAAATGGCAACATTTGAAAGTGTCACAAAATTAGGTACTTTTATTAAAAGTTTCTGACACTGGGTTTGTTTTGTTTTTCCAAATTTTATTGCACAAGTAGTACATGTTTATTCTAGGATAATTTTTTAAATTCACATGCACAAAAAGAGAAATCAAAGAAAAATTTCCCACAATTCTATGATTTCAATAACCACATTTTTCTGCATAAGCATGTCAATGCATGTGTTGATTCATAATAGCTATAACAAAAATGGTACTGAAAAAACGGTGAGTTGCTGTAGCACAGTGGTTAGGACCAGGGGCCACAGAGCCAGCCTGCCACAAAACTTCTCCCACCCCAAGCTGTGGAAGCAGCCTTGAGTCTGCATTGCACATAGCCTTAGAACCCAACCAGCTAGGGATCCTTCTGGATACTCTCGTCCTTTGGATTATGCTGCTCCAGACAATTCTTAGGGGCTCTAGCACTGTACAGCCCCCTGCCTACTCTGCTTCAGCACACCTTAAATTCAGAGACTGGTCTCTGTTAATTTTCCGGGAGTAGCCGGGCTCGGTGGCTCAGCCTGTAATCCCGCGCCTTTGGGAGGCTGAGGTGAGTGGATTGCCTGAGCCCGCGGGTTCGAGACCCGCCTGGGCAGCGAGACCTCATCTCTACAATAAATCAAAAAATCAGCTGGGCATGGTAGCGCATGCCTGTAATTCCGGCTACACGGAAGGCTGAGGCGGAAGGATTGCCAGAGCCCAGCAGGTCGAGGCTGCGGTGGCTGGGAGCGGCCACTGCACTCCAGTCTGGGCGACAGAGTGAGACTCCAACTCAAAAAAAAAATTTTTCCGGGAGTGGCCGTGGACTCCCAAAGGCCCTCTTCCACCCTCTAAAATCCTTAAGTACATGAATTCACAAATCAGATTTCCTCAAATTTGTTAACTATGCATCCTTGGATAGACTGACGACCACTGAAAGACAGTATTTCGGGAAACTTGGATGAATCACTTCACAGCTAAAGAACAGCTTTCAGTGAGGCTTTAGGAGACTACTGTGTTTCTCAGGATGGTGGAGGCTTGCTTTGTCACTGAACACCAAGTACACTTTGGGCACCTTTCCTGTCATTGACTAGGATTAAATTATGATTCCATGATCCAGGAATAACAGAACAAGAAAGAAGTGTAACATGGAATTTTTTTTTTTTTTAACTCTGTAATTTTCATTTCAGAGCACATGAGTGGTAAATCAGTGGAAGTGTGGATAGGTCTGAACCAGCTGGATGGAAACGCGGGCTGGCAGTGGTCTGATGGAACACCACTCAACTATCTGAACTGGAGACCAGGTAGCCACAGTGTTTTCTTTGCCTTCATCGTGTGGTGTCATCTTGCAGCCTTAAACAGCAGCTTTCCCCTTATAGATATAAGACATGTTGTTCTGAAAGTGGTTTATAAACATTTTTTAGCCTGCCTGAATTCCTGTAAGGCAAGCTTTTCTAAACAAGGAAGTAAAGGACAAGAAGGTAAGCTATTTAGCCAAAGGTGCGGGAGGATTTGGGTCAGAGCCAAGATTCCAGTCTGCTGTTTTAAAAATAACAAACTGCAAAATATCTCTCTACTTTAAAACAATAAGATTGAGTCTTTTGCAATTTCGGGGAAATAATTCCATTGTCATGCATGATATTTTACTTCAAAAGCATAGATATAACAACTTATAGGACTTATTATATATGACAAATTCAAGGGCTGTCCCCTTGATGTTAAAACTACATTTCAGTATATATAAAACCAACCACTTTTATTTCTAACATTAAACACACACATTGTATTTTCAGACATACATTTTGAGTCATTTGTTGAATATCACTGTGGAACATTTAATTCATTTATGCCAAGTGCCTGGAGGAGTCATGATTGTGAGTCTACCTTGCCTTATATATGTAAAAAATTCCTAAACCACACTGATCACGAAATAGTTGGTAAGTATTTTTATTTTAGGTTATTCTTACATGTTGTTTACTTTTCCTCTAAATACATTCAAATGCTTCTATATTTTGTTGATAATTCATAACTTAAACTTTGCTAAGGCTCATTTATATTTATGTGAAAAAATGTATAACTACATAATATCTGTTATTCCAAAGGCACCATGAATTTAACAAACACATTTAGGTTTTTACTGAAAACTGAAACAAAATAACCTGAGCATAGCAAATATTTTTTTCCTCTCTTTTTAAAAATGTACACTCTTAGTAACTCTTGTTAGAAAAACAAGGTATATTTTCTTTTTTGGTAGTTTTGACTTTTGTTTGCAGTCTTTCTAGAGATTAAACATAAATTAGAAAATAATTTTATAAAATTCTTTACTTCATCGGTTTTCTATCACACTCTGAATCTCTTATTAGTAACATACCCTCCTCCCTGAAATAACATACAAAACTTTTAGATGTAATTAATTCTTAAATAATGTCTAGTTACAATCTAGTACCTGAAGTTCAGTTATTTCTGTTTGTAAGGTCTGTTATCGCTTTTTGGTTTCGGGGGAATTAATGTCTTAACTCAGAAAGTAGAGGTAAAAACATAACCATTTATAAAAGAATCTTTACAAAAATAATTAGAAACAACTCAATTTAAATAATATGCTGAATTATCATTTTAAAATACCATCTCTTACAATTAGGTTTTAACTTTCATTTTCTTTTAAATAGCTACGGTTAGGAGTATTGTGGAAGGTAGGGGGTGGAGAAAATAAGCAACCTGTCATTTTTTGTATGTAGAAACGTTTCTATTATTTCAAGAATTTGCTGAAATTGCTACCAGCTATTGTTGCCCTTTTTTCTTTTTCTCTTCCTTTTTTCATCTTCCTTTCTCCATTTCTTCTTTCATTTTTTCCTTCTTTCTTATGCCATCTTGCACTCCCTCTTGCCACCCCTATGTTTTTCTATTTTTATTTTTCTGACCTACTAATTGAGGTCAGAAGACCAGAAGTGGGAGAAATTAAGCTAAGCATGTTTGGATTATTTGCTGTTGCTTCAAGTTCAACTAATTATTTTGATAATTGTGTCCAGTGACTTCACCCTGTGTTTCCAGCATCCCCAGGTTCCTTGCTTGCCTCTGCCCCTATTTCAATCAGAGAAGGTCCTCTTTAAAATTCCATATTTTAGAAGGGTTCCATGACTTTTTTTTAGGTTGAAAACCATTGGGGTGTTTGATGTCTAAACGTTCTAACATTCTTTCACCATGATTCTAATTGGTGTCAGAGTCCTAGAAGCAATTTTAAAAGAATATTTTGTTTCTCAGATGGCAGTGAAGTCTATTTAACAAATTAGTTCTTAAGGGAGGCACCTAGTTGTAGTTAATAAAATAAGGTAAAAATGCTGTCATCCAGGTTGGGCATAAGCTCCGGAAAAGTAAAGCCAAATTTTAGCAAGCACACCACCACCTTCCAGTCTAATGTCCAAAGCATCATGGCACTGTGCTCCCTATAAGTCCAACCCAGAGTCTGTATCAACCCAGAGTGACACCATAGTCACTCAGACTGACCTGCAAAGGGTGACCTATTTGTCATCCTTGTTTTAGAAATAGTGAGCAGAGTTTTAGGTTCTTTTCAGTTGAAGATAAATATCTACATCACCAACATACTATTTATAAAATCCTTGAAATTCCATTTGAATTGTGTTCTATAATATTCATTTTACAATGTAAAAAGATTTCAAAAGTGAACAGCAGTTAAATTTCATACCTGGTGCTGACTCTCTTCTTTCATTATATGACTTTTGTCAAGTCTCTTTTCTTATTTTTTTTTTACTTTATTACTTTTTTAAAAATAGATTTTATTGTGTATATTTCAAGTATACAACATGATAGAATAAAATCCACATATATAGTAAAATGGTTGTTATAGTGAAACAAATTAAAACATTCATTATTTCACATAGTTATCCAGTTCCCTCCGTTAGCAAGAGTGACTATAATCTACTCATTTAGCAAAAACTCTGTATGCAATACACTATTATTAACTGTAGTCCACAAACTGTACAATAAATCTTTAGACTTGTTCATCTTCCACTTTGTGTCCTTTGACCTGCAACTCCCCCATATAGCCCTCACACTCTGCCATCCCTAGTAACTTTTTATCTATTCCGCCTTTTTATGTCTTTTGAATCAATAATTTAATTTATTTGCATTCAAAGTAATTATTGATAGGTAAGGATTCACTGCTGTCATTTTGTTCATTGTTTTCTGGTTGTTTTATGGATTGTTCCTTCTTTTCTTCTTTACGATTTGGCGATTTTTTTTTTTTTTTTTGGTAATGCTAAGTTTTGATTCCTTCCTCTTTATCATTTGTGTATCTGCTATAGTTTTTTGCTTTGTGGTTATCATGAGGCTTACATAAAACGTCATATAATTATACACAATTTTACATGGATAACAATTTATCTTTGGTTGCATACAAAAACTCTAGACCCCCTACAGTTAAAATTTTGATGTCACAGTTTATATCTTTTTATATTGTGTATTTCTTAATTTATTGTTATGTTGTTATTGCCATAGTTATTTACCATTTTGAGTTTAACCTTTATTCTAGAGATATAAATAATTTATAGACCACCATTATAGTATTCAGGTATTCTGAATTTGACTATATATATTTACCTTTATTAGGGAATTTTATACTTTTATATGTTTTTGTATTAGTAATTAGCATCCTTTCATTTCTGCTTTAAGAATTCCATTAAGCATTTCTTGCAAAGCAGGTCTAGTGATCTCTCAGTTTTTGCTTGTGTAGGGAAGACTATTTTTTCCTTCATTCCTGAAGGACAAGTTTGACGGGTATATTGTGCTTGGCTGGCAATGTTTTTGAGGGTTTTTTATGTTTTTTCATTCTGTTTTTGTTGTTGTTTTTCTTTCAGTCCTTTGAATATATCATCTTATTTTCTCTGTCTCTGCAAGGTTGCTGCTGAGAAGTCTGCTTGTAGTCTAATGGAGATTCCCTTATATGTGACTTGACACTTTTTTCTTGCTGCTTTTAAAATTTTGTCTTTGACTTTTAACAGTTTGATTACATTGTGCCTCAGAGAGGGCCTCTTTGGATTAAATTTGTTTGGGAATCTCTAAGTTCATAGATTCAAATGTCTATATCTCTCCCAAGACTTGGGAAGTTTTCTGCAATTATTTTATTAAATAAGTTTTCTGTCTCTTTCTCTATAGAATTTCCCTTTCTGAAATTGCCATAATGTGAATGTCTGTTTCCTTAGTAGTTTCCCATAAGTCCTATATTTTGTCTTTATTATTTTTATTCTTTTTTTTTTTTTGACTGGATAATTTTAAAAACCCATCTTCAAGTTTGCAGATTCTTCTGCTTGAGCTAATCTTCTGTTGACACTCTGTGTTGTATTGCTTAATTCACTCATTGAAATTTTCAACTCCTCCAAGATTTCTGTTTGTTTGTTTTATGATATTATCTCTGGTGAATTACTCATTCAAATTATGAGTTCTTTTCTTGGTCTCATTGGAATTGCCTACCTGTATTGTCTTATATCTTACTGAGCTTTCTTAAGATCATTATTTTGAATTCCTTTTCAGACAAGTCTTTAATTTCCTTTCCTTTAGAGTCAGTTACTAGAGAATTATGATGTCCTTTTAATGATGTCATTTTTTTCTTTCTTCTTCGTCTTTTTTTTTTTTTTTTTTGAGTCAGAGTACCACTCTGTTGCCCAGGATGGAGTACAATGACATAATCACAGCTTACTATAGCTCAATGTCCTGGGCTCAGGCTATTCTCCCACCTCAGCCTCCCAAGTAGCTGGGACAACAGGCATGTACCACCATTCCCAGCTAATTTTTTTATTTTTTGTAGAGATGAGGCCTCACTATGTTACCCAGGCTTGTCTGGAACTCTCGGGCTCTAACAATACTCTCGCCTTGCCTCCCAAAGTGTTGGGATTACAGGCATGAGCCACTGTGCCTGGCATCCACTGTTGCTGGCAATGATAGCTGCTTTTCATGTTTCTTGTGTCACTGCATTGCTGTCTCCACGTCTGGTAGAACAGTCACCTCTTCCAAACTTTAAAGAGTAGCTTTCATTGGGAAAGACTTTCACCTAAGGTGGATCTTAGGGTACCTATTGGAAAGGATATGATTGTTCTCTTTCTGAGTGGATGCACAGGGTTAGCCTCCGTGCAGCTTCTTTAGCTGGAATCAACATCAGCATGACTAGGGGTGCCTCAGTGGCCTAGGCTACAGTATTAGTTCCAGCTGTTAGAGTCCTAGGCAAGAACTTTTGGGTTTCCGTGATTCTCATTTTCTCCACAAGGGGCATCTTAACTCGAGGGTACCCCTCTTGGATTCAGGGATGAAATGGCCCACAAGCTGCTGCAATGGTGCTGGGGTCCAGGGCACAGATGTTCAGAGCCAATGAGATGCTGAGGTCCTGGCTCATGTACTTACTGTGGCACTTGGGACCTGGGGCACAGGTTCACTCTCCAAGGCATGAGTGGATACGGATTGCCCACAAAGCCAGGGCCTGCAACTCTTAGGCAACTCAGCAGCTTGGACCCAGATGACAAGTTTGTAGTTGTGACTCTGACCCTAGGGGGCAGGGCACAGCACTAGCTCAGCTCCAAAGAAGAAAGGATTCCCTGGAGGCTTGATGCTGGAGAGCTGGGCACAGTTATAATCTGGGAACCAGAGCACCTAGTGACAACTCAAGCTCTGGGAGATAACTCTAGACCCTGAGATGGTGGGACACAGTAATATCTGAGACTCTGTGAGGCCAAGTGCTGTGGCAACAAGGACCCAGGAATTGTGGAGCACAGCCTGGCTTGGGCTGCAGGGGACAAAGAGCAGCAAAAGGATGGCTTCACTCTTCAGGCTCTGAGAATTAGTTCAATTTCAGGGAAGCAGGGTGCTACAGTTGCTTGGCCTGGCGGGAGGGGTGTCTCAACTCAGCCAATGCTGGTTCCCTGGGACAGAGGGTGTCACATCAGCTCAGCCCTGGGAAGCATGGCTACTCAGCCAAAGAACTGATTCCCCTGGAGGTGGGGTGCTACTTCAGCTCAGGTGCTAGGGGATGACTGCTTTGGGCAGCCAAGCACTGTTTTCCCTGGAGGTGGGGCACCACTTCAGTTCAGGCACTGGGGTAAGACTGCTCTGGGTAGTCAAAGCAGGGATTCCCTGGGAGGCAGGGTGACACTTTAGCATGGGTACTGGGAGGCATAACTGCCCTGGAGACCAAGGCATCATTTATTTGGGAGTCAAGGCAATAAACCAGCTCAAGCTCCAAGGGGCAGGACATAGCAGTATCTGAAAGGGGTAGATGGAGCAGCTCCATGGCAGCTTGGCTCCACAGGGTAGAGTGGGGATCCCACAGGTTGGCTTGGGGATGGTGGGCCACCAGTTGGATTGGGTGCAGTAAGGATGAAACTTCAAAGATGGAAATATGCCATAGCTACTTGCTTCTGGAGCAGAACATACCCAGTAATGATTCCTTTTTCAGGATGGTGCGGTGTAGTAACTACATGGGCCACAGAGAGAGCACAGCATCAGCTCTTTCTCTGGGAAGAGCACAGCCATGTAGACTCCAAGTAGCTCCCTCAGCTGGACTTAGTGCCTATGAGGACTTCAGAAGTTCCATTGGCAAGAACTATGGGTGACCACAGTGGTAACAGGGACCTCTGGGGTCCTCCTGCTCACCCTTTCCTTACAGAGGGAAATCTCTCTCCTGTCTCTGAGCTGAGGAGACAGGGTGGTAGAGGGAATGGTGTCTGTGTTCTCTGTTGTTTCTGCTACTCTCTTGATACATTCCAGTACTCTCCTTCAGCTACTTTCATCAAAATGCAATTGTTTACTCATTGTTCTTACTGTTCCTGTGGGAGGATGAGTGCCAGAGGTCTTTAGTCAACCATCTTGCTGATGACACTACTCTGCTTACTGCTTACTTGTCTGCATATTGGAAAATGAAATACTGACATTTATTTGAGTCCAGGTTTAGATCTAAATTATAAATTAGATCTTTCTCAGCTGTGAAGATCTAGAATTCCATTATTTATATATCATTTCATAGGTTTCTGTGTTTAATACTTCAAAATTAATCATATTGATGGCAATTTATATAAAGGGTAATAAGTAGTGTTAAAATAATTTTGGAAAATGACATTGCTTTTTGTTGGTTTAAAAAGAAAAAGATACTTGGAAATATTATGCTACCGACTGTGAGCCTGGCTGGAAACCCTACAATCGTAACTGCTACAAACTTCAGAAAGAAGAAAAAACCTGGCATGAGGCTTTGTATTCTTGCCAGTCTGATAACAGTACGTTAATAGACATAGCTTCGTTAGCAGAGGTGGAGTTTTTTGTGACCCTCCTTGGAGATGGTGAGTGCCGACTACCTTTGGCTTAAGCAGTATAAGATATAATGTAGTAGATACTTTTATCAGTAGAGTTGAAAAGAAATTTAAGCTATTTAAAAGTGGTTATTGGTGGTTTATATATTTTAAATTTCTAAATAATATCCAGGAGTGAAAATTTATTGGATTTTTGCAGAATACATGTCCAGAATCTTTGTAACATCTTCACATATCCCAGATATATTAGATAGCTTTTAACTTTTTTAAGAAGCAAGAGTCATTTTCTAAAACTTCTAATTAAAAAACTAAACCTGTAATTTAGCTTTATGGCCACTAGATAGCAGTAGCGTGTTCTGGTTATGTATTCTGAGTAATAAAGGGAATTCTGTAGGCTAATATAGAATTTAAATAATTTTAGCCAATGAAAATGGGTAACTTATTTGGTGAGGTGATTTTCAGGCTGAGCACCATGTTCAGGAATTCTAGGCTCCTGAGCTTCCACCCAGTCAATCATCAGAGCAGGTCTGCTCTCAGTGTGTCATATATTTGACAGAATTCTGCTGAAAAAACATTGACATTGCTGGGTGTGGTGGCTCAAGCCTGTAATCCCAGCACTTTGGGAGGCTAAGGTAAGAGGATTACCTGAGCCCGTGGGTTTGAGACCTGAGCCTGTGGGTTCGAGCTTGGGCAACATGGTGAGACCTCATCTCTACAATAAAATAAAATAAATAAAATAAAAATTAGCCGGGCATGGTAGCGCATGCCTGTAGTTCCAGTTCTTGGAAGGCTGAGGCAGAGCCCATCAGGTCGATGCTGGGGTGGCTGTGAGCATGCTACTGCACTCCAGCCTGGGCAACAGAATGAGAGTCTGACTCAAAAAAAGAAAAGAAAAGAAAAGAAAAATATTGAAATCACTGTCTTCACTTTTCAGTTTTTAAAGATTAAGAAAAAACCCCCAGCCTCTACTTTTATGATCTTTTCAACATTAGGTTTTAGTTTGGAGTGAAAACACAAATCTTTCTCTGTCATTTTCCCTAATCCTTTGCATTTAAGATTAAAGAATTCTGCAGCTGCTTATCTCAACAAGGGTATTTGCACATCTCTCAGCCACTTAGCGTCCTTTCACCCTACCTAGGCCGTCAAACTTTATTTACTTTTCCAGAGACTTCATTACTCCCATCTCAAGACTGTTAAGAGCTTCTGCCCTTTTTCAATGGCAAAAAAGAAAAAAGAAAAAAGACCAAAAGGCAAGACTATCAATAAAAGTTTGTTTTTTTTAAAAAACGCCCTTTTCATAATCCAATGGATTTCTTATTTTTCCTTTCTCCAGGCAGAAGCAAAACCAGACTTTTTAGATCTACTTTTCATATGATAGCAGGAACTAGGAATCTGACTTTCTTAGGCTTTGTCCTTGCATTGGCTTTAGTGCACATTCTGCCTCACTTATAAGGCCTGTATTGAGCAGATCTCGATATGGGAGTGTCTTAGTCCATATTCTGTTACTTGTAGCAGAATACCTAATACTGGGTAATTTATAAGAAGAGGAATGTATTTCTTACAATTATGGAAGCTGGGTCTAATGGCTCTTTGGTCATCTTTACTAATTGGCATATACTTGAGCTTTAAATTTTTCCAAATAGAAGTCAGCCATGTGTCTCAGCAGAGCAGTCTGTAAGTTGATTCATTTGTTCGCGCTCACTTTCGAGGTAAAGGAGCTATATCTGTGAGAGCCTTCTTGCTGATAAAGACTCTGCAAAGTCCAGAGGTGGTACATGGTATCACATGGCGAAAGAGCTGAGTGTGTTAGTTCATGTCTCTCTTCCTCTTTTTATAAAGTCACTAGTACATTCCCATGATTAATCCATTAATCTGTAGGCTCTGCCTTCATGACCCAATCTTAAAGTTTCACCTTTCATTACTGCCACATTGTAGATTAAATTTCAACATGAGTTTTGGAGGAGAAAAACATTTAAACCATGGCAGGGAAAAAAGGTTTAAGCAGGTATTTTTTTTTTTTTTTTTTTT